GGAGGACGTGATACCTGCATGTGTTGTCTTTGTCTTACAAGTGCGTAACATAGCAAATTTTACGCTCAGCAGAACACTCCATTAGTTTAAAAATTAGTGCGAATTCACCTCTTATAAAATCTGAAAGTAAGATTATTATCTAGGCAACCTCATAGGTTTTTTATTATATTTTAATTTTAACGCGAGTTATGAGTATTTTAAAATTGTAAATTTTTTATACATCTTAAAATACTTATAACTCGCGTTAAAATAAAAATATAATAAAAAGCCTATGAGATTGCCTAGATAATAATCTTACCTTTAGATTTTAAAAGAGGTCAATTCACTTAAATTTTTAAATTAACGGAGCTACATGTGTTCTGCCGAGTGTACAATTTGCTATGTTACGCACTTGTAAGACGGAGACAACACATGCGGGTATCACGTCCTCTGTTGAATGTTAGTGATATAGGTACTGATAAGCTTATAATTTCAAATTAAGTTATTATATAACTAGATAAAGATTAATTTACAAATTTAAAGTGTAACTAACTGCAAACTAATCGGTAATAAAGATAAGACAATATTATTTTAATATTTTACTTAAAATTATCTGATAATTGTATTTTATACATAAATAATTGAAAATACATTTCGTTAACTTTACATCATTAACTGCGTCGTGTACACAAGTTAAATCATGGTTTTGATCGCAAATTAAATCATGAGTTTCTTTTAATGATGAAAATCTACCATTTTTAATTATATAACCTAATTTATAGCTTAATATAATTTCATTATTTTGAAAATTAATTTATTTTAAATAAATTATTTTATTATTATCAATGTCATATGCAGTCATATTTAACAATATATTTGAATTAAAACCTAATCTTAATAAAATATTTTTATCAGAACTACCGTTCCATAGTAAAATAATCGTATTTTGGTTATTAAAATTAAGATAATTTTTTTAATTTTTACTAGCAAATCTCTGGTTTTAATATAGGAATAATTATCCATTAATATTATTCTTCCATTGGGTGATATTATTAAAGGTCAACCGTGCATAAGTTCAATTTTTGATTTTATGTGAGTTTGTGTAATAGCTCCAGAAATTAAATTGTTATCCTTCTGTTATAATAATACATAGTTGTACTTTATAAGTCATATATATAAATAATTAAATAAAAATGTTTAAGGGGGTTGGAGCATAGGATATTTTAAGGAGTAATATTTAGGCAGTTCTTATTACATGCATTTTTGAACGGTGTCATTGTGTGAGTAGTTAATGAACATTAGTGTGTGTAATCTATTATCTGTGCCATTACCGCGTTGTCGTTCCACTGGCGTCTACCTATCGGCTGCAATATGCGGGTGTTCTCAGAACGACGATGATAATAATCAAAATAAATGTTAAAATGTGTTATTTACATATTTTATCTCCGTGAATTTAATTTACCCGACCGGTAAGGTACACCGTACACTTATAAATGGCTATAATGATATTTCAATGTAATACTAATTATATATTTAAATATTAAAACACATCAGAAAAAAGTATTAAATGCACATTACTAGATAATACGTCAATTACTTTATTATTTCATAATCATTATTAGGTACATCAACTTTGTATACAAATAATTTAAAAAGTTGTCTTATAAACCATCTCTGATTGGTAATCCACGTTCAAATCTAGAATCAATTAATTCCAAAACCATATTATTCACATAGAACGATGATAATTTGGGCTCCATAGAAGTGGCCCAATAATTATCATCTCTCAATATTTTTTCGAATAAAATACCTATTATTTAGAAAATAATTATTGATTTAATGAATAAAAGATGTTTGTAGACACTAGAAATATTTACCTTTTGGAGTCCAAATACAAAAATAACAATAATCTCTTCGTGAAATATGTAATGCACCTTGAATTTGATAATAATAATTATCATTTGTTTTTAAATGTAATTCATTATTTTTCAATACACAGCATTTAATTATTTTATTTTCTATTGCTTCTTTTGGAGATACATTTTTTGCACTAGAAGGACATTTTATTTCCACTAATCCATCATCTCCGTTTAGTCCATCTGGAGAGGCAGCCAAGTAGAATTTTTCGCTATCAACAAATAATCCCGATGGCTCAATATTAACGCTCAAAATATTTGCTAATTGTTCTTTTGCCACTTCTTCGTGTTCAACTCCATATTTTGTTGATAGATTTCCTTGAAACGTTCCGTATAATAATGCTTCTATAGTTTTGGCTCGTGATGTTGTTATTCTTAACTTACATATTTTACCAAAAACGGATGCTGTTAATCTAATAAAAATACAGTTTATAAAAGTTATAGATAAGTGATTAATTTGGATATAATACACAACTCGCCTTTACGCAAACCATGTTTTAATTTTTCCAAAGAAACCGTTGTGTATGTATTTATATGCCTATAAAACCTATAATTTATAATAAATAACAAACNCCCCCCGAAAGTTTTTCCTGCGTTCGCCCCTGCAAACGCCATTGGACAATATCAATCCTAACAATGGTGAGTTTCAACTTATAGATACTGGATTATACCTTGGGGTGGGCGTTATAATAATGCAGAAATTACTTTTCAAATAATAAATTAGTAGTAATGTATTTAATTACCGTAATGTAATTAAAATTCTTTCTTCTACTGGTACTGCAATCCTGAAGTTTGTATCTTTTTTGAAAATTTTTGGCCCAACTATATGTACTAAATTATCAAAATTACTTTTACTCACGCGGTAAAATGTTTTAAATTTATCTGGATCGCTATGTAATTCATTTGCAACAACACTAGTACTAGAACATATAATAGATACATTTATCGGTCGTACACGTGTATCTGATTCAATTCAACACAAATATTTTTTTAAATATTTATTGGTCATCCAACCATGGAAGTAGAAGAAGCTTTGTTACTTTACTGTTTAATTAAAAGAAAACGTAAAAATAATAAGCGTAAAAGACTCCATTGGGTGCATCCTATTGTTGGTGCAAGATTAGAAAAGGGTAATTTTAATATCCTATTTCCCGATCTTCTTAAATACGAGTCAAAATTTTTTAACTTTTTCCGCATGTCGAGTAAATCTTATTTTGAATTACATAATTTAATAAAAGATGACACGAAGAAAGAAGACACAAATATGAGAAGATCTATTTCAACTAAAGAACGACTAGCAGTAACCTTAAGGTAGGTATGTCTAATTAATAAATAATAATATAGGATGGTCCTAAATAATATAATATTAAATATTTGAGTATCATAAAAATTGATTTCATATACTGAACACTACCTACTTAATTTAGGTAGTTATTTTAACTTAGTTATAATATTTCAATGGTTATATAAAATATTGTTAAGTAAAAAAAACATAAATCTTTATTTTTTAAATTAATAGAAATAAAAATTGTTAACAAGTAGATACTTCCAAACATAATATAATTTAATATAATATTTAAATAGCCAAAAATAAATTGTTATCCTTCTGTTATAATAATACATAGTTGTACTTTATAAGTCATATATATAAATAATTAAATAAAAATGTTTAAATGACATCGTTATATTCACTAATATAAGTTGCCAAACTCGAAGAGCTTGATTGAGATCCTTCTAATTCCGAATGAGAAAGAATATTTTGACCCGGGGAGGGAGTTGGAGTGTGAAAACGTAGATGTTGATCATTTTGTTGACTGTTTTTTAATTGATGAATGTTAGAATAGGGAGATTGAAAATTGGGATAAGACGGTGTTCTCTGATATAAATCGGAATATTGATTTATAATTGGTGTACGAATACTATTCGAAGAAAATTGAGTGTCAAAATTTGAACCAACTGGAATAATAGAAGGGATATTTTGCTGTCGATATTTTTTTGCATTTGAAATTGTTTGCATAATACTAAGTTTTACTTCCATTTTCTTATCTGCGGGTACTTGTTTCAAATCATCGATAAGCGATAACAAAAAAAGACGATCAGGATCATCCATTGATTTCGACATTTGATTTCGTTGTTCTAAACTTTGTTGTATAGACATAAACATTTGAGTTTCTGAATCCTTATGTTGTGTTTTTTGCTTTTTTGATGGTCTTGATTGTATAATCGTGTCTTCATATCTGTGTTCTTCATCAGAATCATTAACTTTATCATCCTCTTCATTATCTGTGACAGTTTCTGTATCAGCATTCAATTCATCGTCATTGTAAATGGGGCTTAAATTTGATGTAGTTAGTTTATTTCCAACACAAGTTGAAAGAAAAGACAATTGATTAAAATATACATAAGTTTTCCACGATTTAGTGCCTGATCCTGATTTTAGCGTCTTTCTTTTAGCCTGTTCACGGGCAAATGAGTTTCTGAGGCTTTTCCATTTTCTTTGTAGATTTTACACTAGAAGAAATTTATACAATATTGAAATAACATAGATAATATTTAAAAACTTATTTATAAAATTATCAAAAAAAATTACATAAGATAATATTTAAAAACTTATTTATAAAATTATCAAAAAAAATTACATACAATTTTTTTAAGAAATGTATTACATATATATTAGGATGGCGCTTTGTCACATAGGTGATTTTTTTTTTTATATATTTTTTTTCAGTCTTACCCCCTAATTTGGTTCCAATATATATAAAAATTATATGTACAAAATTTCATGTCGATCGGTTAAGTTTAACTCGTGCCCCTTAGTCCTTAAAATTCAAAATCACGATTTTATTCAAATAACCACGTTTTTTTAAAATGTTTTATCGATATCTCGTTTCAACTCGTTCATATATAAATATGGGTAAGACATTATTTATAGTAAATTAAATTTTCTATAATATTTCTGTAAAATAAGGGCCACCCTAATATATATATATATAAATAATCATATATTTTTATTTCTTTAGGTATCTCGCTACAGGATGTACTTTGACTGAATTGCATTACAGTTTTAGAATTGGTATTTCCACATTAAGTTCAATTATTCAAGAAATGTGTAAAGTTATATGGACCAACTTAAGGAGAATTTATATGCCAGAACCTACACAAGAACATTGGTTGAAAATAGCAGAAACGTTTTTGAGTGTGACAAATTTCCCTAATTGTATCGGCGCAATCGATGGGAAGCATATACGTATTGTTAAACCGGCACATAGTGGATCTTTGTATTATAATTACAAACATTTTTTTTCCACCGTTTTATTAGCTATATGTGATGCAAATTACTGTTTTATTGCTGTGGACATTGGAGATTATGGAAAAAATAGTGACTCGTCAATATTCAAAAATTCAGTATTTTATCAAAGACTTATTAAAAAAGAGCTCAATATTCCAGAAAATTCCTCATTTCCAGAAGGGGAAGAATCAAAATTGCCATTTGTTATTATAGGTGATGAGGCCTTTGGTTTATCCCAAAATGTAATGAGGCCTTATGGAGGAAAACATTTATCAACAAGAAAAAAAGTGTTCAACTGCAGGTTGTCAAGAGCCAGACGTTTCATAGAATGCACTTTTGGGATTTTTTCGAATAAATGGAGAATCTTTCACAGGCCCTTGAACGTATCTGAAGAATTTGCAGAAGACATTATAAAAGCATGTGTAATTCTACATAATTTTGTTCGTATTCGGGATGGAAACACGTTGGACTTTGAAGACACATTATCATATGAAGGACTTATAGATGAACACGGATCACCAGATAATACATCGGGAAAAGCTGCTACCAGTATACGAGAGTAATTTGCTGACTACTTCATGGGTGCTGGAGAAGTTCCTTGGCAATACGAAAGTATCAAAAAGTGACAACGTTATATTATATATTATATTATTATATATATTTTTAATCAAAATGTAAAATACTCTGTACTAGTAAAATATAGTAACTTATAAATTACTTACAATAAATGTTCTTCTCTTTTTTTTCCAACGAGTCAAACCCTTCTTTAAAAATTCGACAAACGTCGTTCCAGCTATCCTGTTTTACAGTTTTATTGGCGTAATCGGAGTGTGATGTGTTCCATAACGAAGGGCGACGTTCAATTTCAATAATTAATTTGTCAGTATCAAAACTCATACTTTCAAAACTCATAACTAATTTTTTAAATTTNCACCGACCGGTCCGAGCGCCGCGGCGCCCGTACGTCGTAATGAAAAATAGCCGGCCGCGCATTCGGCAGGTCGGTAAGCAGAGCCGCAACAACCGGGGGTGCTAGGGGTGCAAAGAACCCCTGGGCCCCCGTTAAATCATAACAATGGACCCCGGGGCCATTAGCCGAACTATTTGGAACTTTTAGATTCTGAGTGAAACGATGAATGTATTGATTTTACAATGATGTGTGTTTTATTTTATTTTATTTTTTATTTTTGTGCTGTGTACACGATAAGTAGTCGAAATAATGCTTCGATTTTCCCAATAGTTTTCAAAAGCGCCGGAAAAAACAACATGAAAATTAAGGAAAAACAGGAATTTTTACGCAAAATCGGTTTTTGACAAAATTGATTTTGGTTTTTGGTGTAACTCTAAAACAAATGATCGTAAATGCATGAAATTTTCACTGGTTGTTTGTATTTGAATTTTCTATACACGATAAAATTTTGAAAATAATATGATTCTTTTTGAGCTCTTTACGGACATTTTCAGTTTCCATTTTTTTTAGTTTTTTTTCTATAAATATCAATAAAATTGTTTGAAATTTGTTGAATAAAAATGCGTGATAATTTAATGCAAGGCTCCTTATATATTGTAACCGTGGCAGTTGAAAAATATTAAAAATACATAGGCACAATTTTTTGTCGAAGGCCTGTGCAACATCAAGAAATACTGCAGAAGTGTATAGTTTCTTTTCCAGAGAATAAGTTAGATTATTTAAGTTAATAATTCACAAATAATATATTCAATACTTACCTAATTTCTAATGAAATTCGATATCTAAATGAAGAATAGTAATTAAATTTATTTTGTTGTAATTCAAAAGAATTTTTTGTCAGGATTTGAAACTTTTACATTATATTATATGCACATTGACTTTTTTATTGATTAATTTTATGCTAATCCTTATTCCTTTTTTTGTATTTATCACAATCCTATTCATACCGTACCTACTCAGTATTGCCTAATCAGTATTATTTTATATTAAATAATAATAATAAATTAGAAAATGAAAGGTATAATGTCCCTATATTTTAAGTTCTTTGTAAGTTTTATTCAACGATTTATTGTTCACTTTCTTCAATACATTTTTTTTTAAGACCACAAGTCTTAATTATTATGGTTGTAATTCAGAATATACCTTGATGATTAGTTTTAATTAGATTCACTCTCTAAGCTACCAACATGGACTCTCGAGTTCAATAGATATTTTATACCTACTAAGAATTTTAACTAAATATTAATTCATATATTATACATACATTTATCTATGAACTTATGTTTGAGTATAAGGTCCTGAAAAACTAAACCTGTAAAAAAAACCAATAAACAAATATTTTAGTTTTATAATTTTTAAACTAACCAAGCTAAACGTAAACTGCTAAGCGCAGACGGAGACAGCAAAGACCTATTTCAAAAAACTTAATATAATAAATAATAATATTACTAATCTTATAGGTATTTTAGGAATTTTTCAAAGGAATTAAAAGACACGTTGAGTAAAAAAAAAAAAGTATATTGCTGAAAAAAATATAAAACAAATTAAATGTAATAAAAATAAAAATGTTGTAAGAAATATGTAATTTGTAAGCTTACTGTTGTTCTCAGCTATCTCATCTCCTAAAAATTAAAAAAAGTCATTAGATTTTTCAAACAAAAGTATTTTAAATATATTGTTTTTCTTACAATCATTGTCCAACACCGTTGCCATTTATACCATACATATCTGTTAACAAATTAAAATTCATTGGGTTATCTACTATCTAAAAAATTATTTTTAAATTTATCTATTACCTCATGTAGATTATTGTATTAAAAATATCTATTACCTTGTATAAAACATTATTCAATTATCTATGCTTATAAGTGGTGAACAGTTTTAGATAATAAATATACAATAAATGTGTTTTTTTATTAGACTCACAAAGACAAGGACCAGTGTTGGGAAATATCTATCTTATTTATCTTTTATCTTATCTAGAAAAATTTCAGTTCTGTTATGTAATTTATTTAGATCTCATTTAGATAAAATTCTAGTTATCTATGAGTACATATCTAGATAGTTTATTTTAATGGACTTGAAAAAGATTAGAATGTTTGAAAATTAAAAAAAATGTTTGTATTCTCATTATTTTCTGTATACTGTATATTACACGGGAAACAAACGTTTATTTTATAGCAATATCTGTATAACAAATACAATTGGTTCAGAGATAAAAACTTTAAATAATACAAATTTACAATCGATATCTTTCTTAAGTTGAAAAAAAAAAGACTTTTTGAACCAATACCTCATTATTAGAGGTATTCCTAAAATATAATTCTACAATTCCATCCTAAGCACCATTTGAGAGGTTATTTAGTAAGGCTATACAAGTTTTAACACCCAGGTGTAATAGGTTAAATGATGGAACTTTTAAAATTATTTTATGTTTTAGAATTTAGATCAAACGTGGTTTGAATTATTATTATTATTTTATAAGCGTTTCGTTATTATTATTAATCCTGCTTTTCGATGTGCCACTCGACCAGGCCACTGGGGCATTTATTATTATTATTATTTTAAATGTTAGCTAATAGCTTCTTCGTATTTTTATTTAATTAAGTCTGAGAATGATGAGAATGACTTTTCATATGTAGGTATTTAAAAAATAAACCATTTTATTTTTAATATGTTTTAAATTATGTATTTTTTTTCAATTAATACCTATTTCACTGAATATTTACAAAATTAAACATGAAATTAACTGATATTTATCTAGATAAAATTGTATTAATTTTTATCTTTATCTAGATAAATTGTAGTACTGTTATATTTATCTTTATCTAGATAAATTGTAGTACTGTTATATTTATCTTTATCTAGATATATTATTAGTTATGTATTCCCAACACTGACAAGGACTATAGATATTTTATTTTATTTTTTTTTTGGTTAATTTATTTTTGAACCTGCATTTGAAGATGGCTGTTTTATAGGGTTGTGAACATTTTGACTTTTCAACTTTTTTTTTTTTCATTAATCAAAATGATTTTTAATAATTTTTAAAAATTTTAGTCTATAATATGTAAAACGGCAAAAACCTGTCTTTGTCCGGGTAGTGAGTCCCCCTCTACGGCTAATGGGCATATCCTCACGGGACACTGTATAGAAACATGATTATGTAACAAATTGTTTTGGTAATTTTTTAGGCGGAGTGGACATAATTTCATGTATTTATACATACCTAGTCACTGGACCGCTTTTTCCCGGACATGCACTCTTCGTATAGAGATTGGTCTATGGAAGACTGGTCACGTTGTGACGATGACTGGGCACTCCGCCGTCCATGAGGCGACTGCCCACTTTGCGCAGTCGGCTGGGCACTTTGCGCAGTTGACGCAGGCAACTTGGCACGTCGCGTCGTCGACTTGGCAGGTGGCGCAGGCAACTGGGTACGTCGTGTCGTTGACTGGGCAAGTGGTGCAGGCGACTGGGCAAGTGGTGCAGGCGACTGGGCAGGTGGTGTAGGCGACTTGGCAGGTGGTGCAGACGACTGGGCACGTCGTGCATTTAACTGGGGACGACGCAAAGTTGACTGGTTACTTGGAGACTGTGCTCGTAGCGAAGGCGACCGTGCCCGCCTGGACCGCGATCGCCTCACTTTTGAATTAACTGAAACATAGATTAATCAATACATTTGAAGTTCCTAGTTAATCATTATTATTTAAAATATGAGAATTGTAAAATGCATTTACAATAAATTATTGATCAGTAGTCAGTACCCATATAATAATAATATACACTAATTATTAGGTAGTTATAAACTCAATGAAGAAATATTTAATGAATTTGGAAGTTTTACACTATGGACTTATTATAATAAAAAATAAATCATAGTTTTTGGCCAATTTTACATTACTACCTACTGTGTATGATTGTAAAATATTATCTTAATCTTATTATAAATTAATAAAATATATTAATATATACTCACCATATGGCTTACCCCTAAACCAACAAACGTTGGCCTTGTGGCCCATCTTATGGCATATGAAACATTCTGTAATAAATAATTATAATAATAATGTTTTAATATAAATAGGTATGTTATATTAACTGAAATGTAATAAACTATTAAACTTACCATAGGCAAAATCTTTATTCTTGACCACTAGACTAGACTTAACCTCTGGCTTGTCTAGTGGCCGAGAATCTGCAGCAGCAGCAACAGCCAGTGGCTTCTGCTGCAAAGATGGCATCTGGATGTTACCTGCATGGTGATGAATCACCTGCGGCTGGCATTGATGCTGCAGCTGGTATTGGTGCTGCAGCTGGTATTGGTACTGCTGGTATTGGTGCTGTTGGTAATGGTGCTGCTGGCATTGGTGCGGCTGGCATTGTTGCGGCTGGAATTGGTACGGCTGGCATTGGTGCGGCTGGCATTGGTGCTGCTGGCATTGGTTGTACATCTAAAATAATTATAATTTATATTAATTAAAAAACTTGTTGTAAAAAATTAAGAATCAAAAAAGTACATTTTTTGGGAGCCTTTGTATTTCATTATGACTGATTAAAAACTGATCCATGGACCTTAGATGTGCCAGGCTG